CGGAGCCCGTGGCGCCGGCTCCCGTGCAGGCGGCAGCCTCCTCCAGTCGCCAGGCATGTGGGCTAGCCCGGTGTTGTGGGTGCAGCGTGTCCGCTGCGGGATGAAGAGGTCCTCAGGCGCTGTGCCTCCTCCTCTGGGCACGTAGCCTGCAGCTTCTCCGGGGTACTGGGCCTCAGACCCCGCCCAGCGCCGGGGCCCGAGTCTCCATGGGGTATCTCCCCCTGCTGGCCGGGGTCTGCTGCACGCTGCGTGGGGCCGTCAGTGCACGTTCCGCAGGGCGTCCACGCGGCTTCGGAGCGTATCTGGCAGCAAGCAGGGGCACTGATGCAGCCTTGCGGCAGAACCACGTGTGGTTTCCTCCTCGTGGAAATACGGACGGTGTCGGGTCCTCCGCCTTCACTGGGATAGGAAAGAAGGCACGTGGAGGTCAGCGTCCATGTGTCACGTACCTGAGGCTGGTGGCGGTCCTCTTGACGGGGACCCGTGTCTGGCACCGCAGCTGTGAGCGGGACGCCAGCTCTGTTGAGCTTAGAGGAGCCCACGGTCTGCCTCCAGGACCCGCTGACTTTGTGCGGAGGCCAGATGGTGGATTCGGCAAGGCCCTTCCATGCCCTTGATCGCTAATGTAGGCACGTGTGTCCGCCACCTGTGATGGGGTGGGGGCATCAGCGTCAGTCCTGCTGTGCGTTCATGGACCATGGGAACGAGCACTGGGTGGGTCTGTACATCCAGGAGATCTGCTGTGACCAGGCGTTGTCCGGGACTTTTTTGTTACGTGGCCCTCCAGTGTCCCCACTCTAACAGGGGACATGACACTTGGGGTCTCAGACCTTGTGTTCAGCAGGTCTTGAACCACTGAGCATTGCCCTTTGCTCAGTGTACGACCACCACGTAAGTCGCAGTAGGTCTTCTTGGGTGCACGCTGGGGTAATGGTCACCGTCCGTACTTGCCCCATCGTTGTGGCTTCCGAATTCCCGGAGATCTGGCCATATTTTCTCTCAGTGGGTTTTAGGTCTGAAACTGGCTCAGATCAGTGCCGGATAAGGGATTGTGACTTTTGGTGGGGTGACTTCCCTCAGCCTCCTGCTCATCCGTTCTTGTTTTCCTTTGAATTCGTATGTGTGTATGAACGCATGTACTATGCAGGCAGGGCTCTGTTGAGCGACCATCTGTTTTGCTCCTAGGAATACCGTCTCTTGTTATCTGTCGCCACAGCTCTCGGCCAGTTGGCCTTCCCCAGCTGGCACGCTGCCTTGTTGGTCATTATGATAATTGCTACCCCCGACTTCTGGCAGTCACACGCCATCCCCAGGCCGCGGTTGCTGTGGGGCCAGGTTTAGCTGCTGGAATCGGGAGTGGTCACAAAGCTTGTTATCAGCCAGTCACACTCTGTGACAGCCCCTCCTAAGAGTGGAATTGTTGGGTTATTTGGTAAGTGAATGCTCAGCTGCCAAAGGGTGTCCCAGAATGTCTGCACCGTGTTAGGGTATCTCCAGCCCCAAAGGTCTGCACCGTGTTAAGGTTTGTCCAGCCCCAAACGTCTGCACCTTGTTACACTATCTCCAGCCCCAAATGTCTGCAGAAGACCCATTTGTTCCACATCTTTTCCAGTGCTTGGTTTTGTTCATCTTTTTAAAATGAAATTTTAGCCATTCTCGCGGGTGTGTATTACATCTCGTTTGGTTTTATTTTGCATTTTTCTAGTTACCATTGATGTTGAGCATCCTTTCTGGTGATTGTTGATCATTCATGTTTCCTCTTTTTTTTTTTTTTTTTTTTTTTTTTTTTAACTTATTTACTTATTGAAAAAGAGAGGGGGGTGGGAAGAGAGAGAGAGGGAGAGAGAGAGAGAATCCTAAGCAGACACTAGGCTGTCAGCATAGAGTCTGATGCAGGGCTCAGTCTCACTACGCGTGGGCTCATGACCTGAGCTGAAATCAAGAGTCATACACTTAACTGACTGAACTGCCCAGGCACCCCCCCATTCAGGTTTTTTCTTGAAGTGTTGATTCAGTGTTCTGCCATTTTTAAAATTTGGGTTGTTACTTTCATTAAATTGTAAGAGTTCTTTATTATGGATACAAGCCCTCTGTCAGATAAATATATTAGGAATATTTTCTTCCAGTCTTCGTTTTTTTCATGATATCCTTCCAAGAGCAGAAGTTTTAAGTTTTGTGAAGTTCAATGTCTGTTGTTAGATAGAAGCTTTTAATTTTAATGTGGTCTATATTATCAGTGTTTTCTGTTATGATTTGTGTTTTATTCTGCCCTACTTAAGAAATCTTTGCTTATCCCAAGATTGTGAGGATATTCTACTATGCGTTGTAGAAAGGATTTGTATTATTTTGTCTTTCACATTTTTATCTTCAGTCTGTGTGGAATTAGTTTTTGTGTATGTTGTGAGATAGGATAATACTTCATTTTTCATGTGAATATACGATTGATCCATCATCTTTTACTGCAAATACCATGCTTTGTCCATTCCAGTGCAGTGGTATTTTTGTTATAAGTCAGGTGACCGTTCTTGATAAGGTCTGTTCCTAGATTGCATTTTCTTTCTTTGGTCTATGTATCTGTGTACTGATACCAAGTTAATCCTGGATTTGTAAGCCAGCCAGATTTGTTCCTGTGCCTGGCTGTTTTGGCTGTGTGGACAGCTCACATTTCCATTTAATTTTAGAAGTACAGAAACAGGTTGTCAGCTTCTATCCAGAAAGCCTTTTGGAACTTTAATTAAGGTTCACAGGTGCCTTACAATAGTGAAGCTTCTAATCTATGAACATGGTATACCCTCCTTGGATAGGCCTGTACTTTCTCCCAGCAGTGGTTTTAATTTTGCTGCACACAGGAGGTCTTACACCTCTGTAGTTTGAGATTTTATTGGATATTTGATTTTTTAATGTGATTGTTAATATGTGATTGTTAAAAAATTTCCTAAAGTGTTGTTGTTATCTGTAGGTATCCAGTTAAATTTTGTATAACACCTTGGTGTTCAACAGTTTTGCTAAATTCCCTGCTTTGTTTCTAAGAGTATAGTGTGTGTAGACTGTCAGGTCTTCTACACCCATTATCATTAGCAAGTAGTGGTGTTTTCATTTCTTCTTTTCCCAGTCTTACACCTTCATTTTTTGCTTGACGTATGAAGTAGGCAGGACCTCTAGTAGATTGTTAACTAAAAGTGGTAATACAAAACCTTCTTGTCTAATTCCTCTTCTCAAGGGGAAAGCATTTGGTATCTCTCCCGCACCGCTGTGTTTGCTGGGTGAGCAGGGAGTTACAGGGAAAGACACCTGAGCAGAGTTCCTCAGAGAAGGAATTTGTTCTGTGGGGACTCTGGCAGAGACGAGCTGTGTGCATTTCACTCATCTTGTAGAGAAGCTACAGTTAGTTCTCACGCGGGTGGCTCCATCACTCTTCACATTAGAGAGTTCTTTTTTCTGTCATTTAGGAAGACTGATATAATCTGTGCGTGAACGGGGTGAATGTCTCAGGCGTTCCTTTCTTTTTTCTGCCTCAGAGTCATCAGTTAGATATTCTTGTATTTTAGGAATGCCATCGCCGCTTCTCAGGCTCTGCAGACAGACCGTGTGCTGGAAACTTCCACAAGAAAATGAGTTTCTCGTGTAGAAAGTCCATGGTGCGCTGCATTGTCAGAGGTGAAACGGGAAGGTGACCGTTAGGTGTGTGGCCCAGCAAGCTGTATGGGACGTGAGCCCCGACCTTGGGGTCAGAAGGCCCTGGTGGAAACCCCTATCCTTCCGCCTGTCCTTTGATCGTGGCCGATAATGGCAATACTGCCCCTGAAGCCCGGCATCACCTGTTATGTTCACTGGTGCGTTGTTTGGCTGATCAGTTGGTGTTTGGATTGAAGGGCCGTTGCAGCTGCTAAGTGGGACATTTTCCAGTGTGGCATGAGGCCCTTTCTTCTTCGTATTTCATGCGGGAAACCTTGTGCACGCGGTATTCTCTCTTGTTCTGCATTTCTTTTATGGTCCTCACTCGATGTCAGCCTGGTGATTTAATGTTGAAACCTGTTCCTTGATTTACCATCATGTACTAAAAGGCCTTTAAAAGGGAATGTGTTTAGCACAGATGCAGTGTGGTACTGAACGGAAAACATATTTGAAAGGATTTATATTTAGGGATTTATGATTTAATTTTTATCCCATAATGTTAAACCTGATTCGTTTTGGTCTTCTGTGTCTCCCTGTCGTACTGAAAAATCGTGCAGAGGGGCAGAACCCGGTGCCTGGTGTGTTCCTGGAAACAGGTGGCCCTGGTCTTTCTTGTCTTGGTGTCCTTATCCACCGGGAGGCATTTCAGAGTGCTCCACGACAGATCCCCAGGGGCTTTGAGTGGTGGGGACTGAGCAGCCGCCGTCGTCTGCAGGAGATGCTGTGTCCACACGGCGCCAGCGGGCACTGGGCCGCACGCTGCCCGGAGAGCCAGGGCACAGCCGACACGACGCCTGGTGCGCTTCAGTGTGCGGTTCCCACCTGCCCATCCCCTCCCCTCCGCGCACGGGGGTCCGGCGGCACTGGCGACACGGTTTCCAGACGGAGACTTCTCAGGGTGCCCGGTGCCGGTGCAGGATTCCCTCGTACAGCTGTGAGGAGCACCTGTTCGCCGTCAGCCTTATGCCCGAGCGGCCCTCACGGGGTGTCTGTCGCACGCCCACCCCTGCGTTTTGCTCCCTGTCGTGAAGAACCGTTGAGGAAGCACAGAAGGAAATCGATTTGGAGGAAAATCAAATTTTCTTCTGAAGCAGAGTGGTGGTTTTAAAACAGGGAGGCAGGGGTTAGGCGGCTGCTGGCGGGGAGCCTGCCTGTCCCGCTTGCTGACTCTGGGTGTGTGCCCCCCGCCCTGCTTGCTCCCTGCACTTCAGATGTTCGAGAGGGCAGGCGCGCTCTGCCTCGGCGTCTGTGTGGATGGCGGTGCGCCGTCTGGGCCACGGCCGCGAACCGAGCTCTGTTGACATGACCCTCTGTTTATTCCTCAGCCTCAGACAGCAAGGTCCTGACGTGTGCAGCCGTATGGAGGATGCCGAAGGAATTGGAGCCCGGCAGCCACGAGTCCCCTGATGACTCATCGAGCCCCGCGCACACCCTGGAGCTGCTCTGTCACCTTGACGACACGGCCCACGGCAGCGTGGCCTGGTAGGGTTCCGCCTATCTCATACGCCCAGGACAAGCCTGCAGTAGACAGCGTGCGGCCGCAGACTCCCGTGGTAGGGGCCGCGGCGCACGCTCGGGACTCTGCTCTCTTGTGAGAAGACGGTGTGAATGGCTTTCTGTCTGTCTCTCTCGTTTCCTGGTCCTTGTTCTCCAGAGCGGACACGTTCACGGAAACCCTACCACAAACATCGTGAAGGAGCCTGTGTGCAGGCCTCCTTTCGTCGAGACCAGTGTGGCCAGGCCCCTGCCGGGAGGGTGGCGGAGGCGG